TTTTTCTTTCTTTTTCGTGTTTTTACTATAGTTTTTCTTTCTTTTTCGTGTTTTTACTATAGTTTTTTCTTTCTTTTTCGTGTTTTTACTATAGTTTTTCTTTCTTTTTCGTGTTTTTACTATAGTTTTTTCTTTCTTTTTCGTGTTTTTACTATAGTTTTTCGTTCTTTTTTCGTGTTTTTTACTATAGTTTTTCTTTTCTTTTTCGTGTTTTTACTATAGTTTTTTTCTTCTTTTTTCGTGTTTTTACTATAGTTTTTCTTTCTTTTTCGTGTTTTTACTATAGTTTTTCTTTCTTTTTCGTGTTTTTACTATAGTTTTTCTTTCTTTTTCGTGTTTTTACTATAGTTTTTCTTTCTTTTTCGTGTTTTTACTATAGTTTTTCTTTCTTTTTCGTGTTTTTACTATAGTTTTCTTTCTTTTCGTGTTTTACTATAGTTTTTTCTTTCTTTTTCGTGTTTTACTATTGTTTTCTTTCTTTTTCGTATTTTTTTATAGTTTTTTTCTTTCTTTTCGTGTTTTTTACTATAGTTTTTCTTTTTTTTTCGTGTTTTTACTATAGTTTTTTCTTTCTTTTTCGTGTTTTTACTATAGTTTTTTCTTTCTTTTTCGTGTTTTTACTATAGTTTTTCTTTCTTTTTCGTGTTTTTACTATAGTTTTTTCTTTCTTTTTCGTGTTTTTACTATAGTTTTTCTTTCTTTTTCGTGTTTTACTATAGTTTTCTTTCTTTTCGTGTTTTTACTATAGTTTTCTTTCTTTTCGTGTTTTTTACTATAGTTTTTCTTTCTTTCGTTTTTTTTTACTATAGTTTTCTTTCTTTTCGTGTTTTTACTATATTTTTTTTTCTTTTTCGTGTTTTTTACTATAGTTTTTTCTTTCTTTTTCGTGTTTTTACTATAGTTTTTCTTTCTTTTTCGTGTTTTTACTATAGGTTTTTCTTTGTTTGTCGGGAATTTACTATAGTTTATTTCTTTCTTTTTCCTTTATTTACTTTAGTTTTTTTTCTCTCTTTTTCCTTTATTTATTATAGTTTTTCTTTTTCCTCTATTTACTATTGTTCTTTCTTTCTTTTTCGTTTATTTATTTTAGTTTTTTCTTTCTTTTTCGTTTAATTCCTATAGTTTTCTTTCCTTCACTCCGTTTTCTATTTGCTCACAGCCATATCACATTGAAGCACCTGTTCCCGTACAATCAATGCAGGTAAGTTAACCTGGTCAGCACCCACCTATGTATCCGTTTGGGAATATCAGTTGCCCTAAGCTTGGATGTGAGGGCAGTGTAGTGGATAACGGCTCGGCGCTCGGAATTGTAACTAAGAGATCCGAGTTCCAGTCGGTTTTGTGATATTCCCTTACGCGCAAATTCCATTGTGAAAGGCATGAATCCACCTCTTCTCGCCCCTCACAACTATGGGTTGATTAGTGAGACTTGTGTCAAGCAAATCATCATTATCTCATAAGTATATTTTGGTGGGGGGGTTGAATAACCCTCACAGGATTGATAAGCCATCAAAAATGCTAATCTTCTCATTTTAGAAACATTAAGGTGGTAAAAAGGTGGTAGGACAACGTTAGTAATATTCATGGTTGCCGCGTGCTTATAAAATCTATATTTACAGAGGGCGATTCTATACATGTTTATTATTGCTGATGTAATGGAATAACCAAGCACCTCCATCAATGATTACACTATAGGTAGTAAGTACCTATAAAGTCAACTGTCTAGGGGAGACTTGAGGAAGAGTGAGAGAGAGAAGATGCAAGCACGTCCGATTAGTTCCAATTAGAGGCACTTACTACTAGATTGACCTGTTGTGTATAACTGTACCGTATTTCATATTGTACTGGTTGTGTACAATAAACCTTTCTTCTAGTATCTACCTTGCGTTAAGTATTTATTCCCTTAGCACGGAATATAACAATTTTAATGGTTCAAATAATGCCAAGGAAAATGGTTGGCCGTCTCCTCGCGCATATTCACCTCATCAACTCTGGCTCTCTTTGAAAAAAAAGTTTCGACACGCCTGATTTAAGTTTTTTTTTTTTTGGTTTGTAGCAGTTCTTAGAAAACTAATTTTGCAGACGATTACTACCATACTAGATATTTGACTTCATGCCAATATAAGAGGGAGGTAACTCTGGTTCAAGATTCTAATGTATGGAGAAAGCCTAATGGCGATTGGAAGCAGGAAATAATTAAGATTAAACCAGGAATTATCTCAATAACATAATTAATAAAGATAATGATGTAATGGAATAACCAAGCACCTCCATCAATGATTACACTATAGGTAGTAAGTACCTATAAAGTCAACTGTCTACGAGAGACTTGAGGAAGAGTGAGAGAGAGAAGATGCAAGCACGTCCGACCTTCCAATTAGTCGCACTCACTACTAGATTGACCTGTGAGTATAACTGTACCGTATTTCATATTGTATTTGTTGTGTACAATAAACCTTCCTTCTAGTATCTGCCTGGCGTTACGTATTTATTCCCTTAGCACGGAATATAACAATTGCATTATTCGAAAACTTTAACACATCAGCAGATAGCTATTAATGTCAACAACTGATCACAAATAGTTATTAATTTAAAAAATTAGTAAGTAATGTATTATATTATCCATAACTACATGTACAATAATGTCGTTTTTGATGAAAGTTAAAAATAATAACCGTAAATACGTAAAAAATTGCGTATATTGCGGAAAATTCCTTTTCTAGAATATAGCTATTTGTGGTATATTATTTTGCTTACTACCTAAACAATAATAATACTGCATAATTTTTTTAAACATTAAAGTATATCTAATCACATATGCCAAATAGCAGTCGCGATCTGTAAATTTGAACAAGGGATTGACTCCTATCCAAAATACAGGAGAAAGCCAGAAGATGGAGGTCACTTAAGCAAGATCATTGAGTAATACCGATTTTTTAAACATTAAAGTACATTTAATCACATCTCCTTAATAGCTGTCGTGATCTGTTAATTTGAACAAGGGATTGACTCCTATCCAAAATACAGAAGGAGAAATCCCGAAGATGGAGGTCACTTCAGCAAGATCATTGAGTAATACTGATTTTTTTAAACATTAAAGTACATTTCATCACATCTCCCTAATAGTTGTCACGATCTATAAATTTGAACTTTCCATATATTTCGAGAAGGGATTGACTCCTATTCAAAATAGAGAAGGAGAAAGCCAAAAAATGGAAGTCACATCGGTAAGATCATTGAGTAATAGCGATTTCTTTAAACATTTAATCACGCCTCTCTAATAGCTGTCGTGATCTGTGAATAATCTTTGAAAAATAAAATTGGTTGGATTTTTATATTCACGTGTATGTAAGTGGGAGGAAGTCTGCAGTCGTCAGTTCTGTGTGGGTTTGTGAAACGAAGTAAGATATTGTAGTAATCTTGTTTGGGTTAGATTTACAGATCACGTCATCTACAAGGTGAATGAAATTTAAATTTTCTAATATTGCATTATCCCGAAATATTAAAACATCAGCAGATTATCAACAACTGAACACAAATAGTTATTAATTAAAACAATAGGAGTTAATTCATAATATTATCCATAGCTACATGTAAAGAATGTCGTTTAAGATAAAAGTTAAAAAAATAACCATGAATACGCAAAAAATGCGTATATTGTCAAAAATTTATTTTTCCACAATAGACCTATTTGTACTATGTTTTAATGCTTATTACCTAAGCAATAATAATCTCTATCTATAAAAGGCAGTATGTATGTGTGTGTGTGCAACGAATGCACGTCCGCAATTTTCGACGGATTTGCACCAAAATTTACATGCACATGCTCCAAGTTAGTAGGAAGGCCAAGACCGACATTGCATTTCCCAACTCACATCGATAGTGGAAATAATCGATTTTTTCATGCTTCTACGGCAGTTTTCATGTAGTTTGCGGTCATTTTGTACTGGCCAGAGTGAGAGCCTATAGCTGGCTGCCACGAATAGGCAGGAAGATTTTATTGGCCAGCGTGAAAGCCAACAGGTGACTGACATGAATGTTAACTAGCATGCAAAAAAAATCGATAGCTGAATTCGTCACAAGTGGGAAAAATTTAAATCTGCATGGCACTTTACTCCAATTGGCTCATTCGCTTGCTTAAACTCAACGTTGATTCTGATTCCGCAGAAGTGGGTCGGGTGTGAAAAAGTATTTGTTGTTAACATTCTTTTTTCATTCGGTTTTTCCAGTTACGAGTCCTTTTTTTAAAGCTGATCGTTTTGTGTTCATTTTGTTTAGTTCTTTTTTCGTAACAGATTTAATGTTTAGTATAGAGCTTAGAAAAAATTCGCAGTGTGAGATAGGCAAGAAGTAAGGCATGTAGCAACATCAGCACGGCAAAGGGCACTCCTTTAACGGCAAGGAAGGGCAAAAATATTTTAAGTCAAGTGATAGCGATTGCTGTATGAGTTGTACGATTTTTGAATTTTGAATCAAGCCGGGCCATGCTGCTCGTAATGAATATATTTTTAACATTAAAGTGTATTTAATCACATCTCCCTAATAGCTGTTGCGATCTGTTAATTGATCATATATATTGTGTTTGAAATAATATATATAATCTTGTGTTTATTGTTTGTTTACAGTATGAATTTGAAGCCATGTTTTTGGAAATATACAATGAAACAATTCGGGACTTGCTCGGTGACAAAGATGATCTGAAACATGAAATCAAAATGGCCAATGATAAATCCGACTCTGTCCATGTGACCAACCTAACAACAGTTCATGTAAAATCACGGGCTCAGGTAAGTGATTGTCACTTTTAACCTTTACCATGTTAATTTATTTCTACAATTCTCCACCATGCTTTTTTCACTTTCTTTTTTTTTTTTTTTTTTTGAAGGTGCAAAATCATGAACACCTGTTTTAAAATTGTTATAATTTTCTTTGTATTGTGCATATAGATTCTAATTTTTGTACACTAACAAAAGAATGAATGAGTAATATTCTGATGTTGAAAACAGAAAAATTGAAACACGAAATAAAAATAAATACACTAAAATATACATAATTCAACATAATTTAACTATTATTACTCTTTGTGGAGTTCTGGGTGTGCAATAAGTAGGTATTTGTGCTATATTTTAATGCCTATTACCTAAGCAATAATAATACTGAATAATATTTTTTAAACATTAACGTATATTTAATCACATCTCCCTAATAGATGTCGTGATCTGGAAATTTGAACAAGGGATTGATTCCTATCCAAAATACAGAAGGAGAAATCCTGAAGAAGAAGGTCACATCGCCATGATCATTGAGTAATATTGAATTTTCTTTTAAACATTAAAATATATTTAATCTCATATCCATAATAGATGTGGCAATCTGTAAATTTGAACCAGGTATAGATTCCTATCCAAAATACAGAAGGAGAAATCCTGAAGAAGAAGGTCACATCGCCATGATCATTGAGTAATATTGAATTTTCTTTTAAACATTAAAATATATTTAATCACATATCCATAATAGATGTGGCAATCTGTAAATTTGAACCAGGTATAGATTCCTATCCAAAATACAGAAGGAGAAAGCCTGAAGATGGTGGTCACATCGGCATGATCATTGAGTAATATTGAATTTTCTTTTAAACATTAAAATATATTTAATCTCATATCCATAATAGATGTGGCAATCTGTAAATTTGAACCAGGTATAGATTCCTATCCAAAATACAGAAGGAGAAAGCCTGAAGATGGTGGTCACATCGGCATGATCATTGAGTAATATTGAATTTTCTTTTAAACATTAAAATATATTTAATCTCATATCCATAATAGATGTGGCAATCTGTAAATTTGAACCAGGTATAGATTCCTATCCAAAATACAGAAGGAGAAATCCTGAAGAAGAAAGGTCACATCGCCATGATCATTGAGTAATATTGAATTTTCTTTTAAACATTAAAATATATTTAATCTCATATCCATAATAGATGTGGCAATCTGTAAATTTGAACCAGGTATAGATTCCTATCCAAAATACAGAAGGAGAAATCCTGAAGAAGAAGGTCACATCGCCATGATCATTGAGTAATATTGAATTTTCTTTTAAACATTAAAATATAT